CATTAGAAATCTCTAAAATTATCAGTGTTTCTCTACTATATTATACATATAAACCTTCCTCTTGAATCACTTTATCTATTAAAAAAAAACTGCTTTAAAATCCGTTGCGTAGTTTTAAAGATAAATCTTTATTAAGAGTGGCAACTACTAGCAAAACCCCCTGAGGGGGTTGCTTATGTTTTAGCAGTGAACAGTTAAAGGCTGGTATGGTGATGATGATGAAAATCAAAAGTCATTCCTGGTGACACGTTTATGAATAAAAATATGTTTTTTTAGGTTGATAGTCCCACATTGATTTTATTACAAAATAAAGTCACCGTTTATTTTTTACGGAACAAATTGTATAATTGAAAATGGCTATTTTTACGGCATCTAATACGTATGATATTAAATTTTTATGCCATATTCATAGGTCCATCATAGCGGTAAATGACGGAAAGCGATAAACAAAGCTTTTGTATGGTGCATATGAATATACATATGTGTGTGTATGTGAATGTATTTTGTATGGTGTTTTGTATTTTGAATGTAGTATGTATGTAATTTTTGGACTAGATTTGTCATATTTCCTTGTGTGTGCTATGTATGTGTTTATGTGTATGTTTATGTATTTTGTATGTATGTTATATATATATATATATATATATATATATATATATATATATATATATATATATATATATATATATATATATATATATATATATATATATATATATATTGTTATAGTAAGTAGTTTAATAAATTATATGTATTTGATATTTTTGTGCATTACAGGTTTTAGTATTTTATGCTCGAAAACTTATTAATTCACTCTTGCGCCACCTACCCATTTTTATCTGTTCTCCTTTAACCAAAGGTTGTCTGTAATAAATTGCCCTAGCGATAAGACCGCCTTTTGCACCTTTACCACCTGAGTCCTCAGGAATGGTAACGCATGGGGGGTATCAAAGGGCGAAACAGTGTACTCTGTTATGTCTATGATACTGTTCATGTTTAGAGGCGACGGTTAGCACTTTCCATCAGGTGGGCCGTCAGCTTGTTGCCATTCTAAGTTGTATAAAAAAAAAACATAAAAAATAAAACCGAACCGAATCGAGAACTTCCTTCTATGTGGATATCTAACCATTTATGCCTTAAATATATAGGAGATATTTAAGAAGAAATGATTTGAAGGAACATAATGAGAATAATAAAAGCAAAAATAGTATTTTTTTTAATAATGTGCGTTCATTGAAAGCAAAACAAATAAACTAAAGAAAAATTACACTCAGTATCAATCAATAGTGTTTAAGTAAAACAGCAAGTAATGACTCTGCAGAATGTTTAGAATCCATGTAAAATTGTCTAACTAAAGGAAAACTTAATTAAATTAAATTAAATTAAATAATTAAAAATAATTAAATTAATAATAAAATAATGATATTAAATTTTAATTTTATTTAATTTAATTCTTTCTACATAAAAGAGACTACCTAATCCATCAACTCACAGCCGAAACTGCTACATCTAGAATTTAGAGAATTTGCAAATATTATCTTTATATATCATAGCTGAACAATAAGGAAGGAATTTTGTAAATTCACCTGTAAGGTAGTAAAACAGAAGATGATTTTGTACGGAATTTTGTCAGTTTAGTAGATTTGTTTTTTTACATTGCTTCTGTCGCTATGTTTTAATGCGACAACCTTCATATCTTTGTCATATTGCCTATCTTATACATTTACTGAGTTTTATTTTATTTTATATACTTTTTTATTTTATATTTTTTTGTTTATTTTTTTTCAATTTACTAGTTAGATACGTGACATTTTATAGAACAAGAATTCGAAAACCGCACGCGAGTGAAACCGAGGGCAATATAAAATTATGAACATTGACATAACTACCTATAATATAAATTTTTAAATAATACAAGACACGTGTATAAACTATTAAAGATACACATCTTGTTCGACTGTATCATCATATTTGTACCGAAACTAGAGTTTTTATTTTATTTATAAAGAGTAAACAAGGCATAAAAATTTAAGTCAATATTGTTTATTAAGTTGATGTGAACATGTTTGTGTATAAGCATGTTTCCTTATAAGTAGGTATTTATTGTATACGAGACATTATGTATAAGCATTTTAGCCTTATAATGTACTACGATAACTTATTTATAAACCGTTTTTACATTCCAATTGTACACTACACACAAGGAACATATTTGTTCACAATTTTTATTCTTTTTCATATTTGTATTTAGAAAAATTACATATTTATTATTAATTATTTTATTTATACTTTATTGTACACAAAAAATATATATTCCAATTTATATTAAATAAAGATTTTCTTTTTTTTTATACAACTTAGAATGGCAAACAATATATCCAGAGAGAGACTGTACAAAAGTTGTTTGCTTGAGTACCTCTGTCCCATTCGTGTTTCAACCGTGAAGCAGTTGTGTTTGCATAGCTATATTTCGGTTTGAAGGGTGGGATATGGCGTGAATTTACAGGGTACAGAGGAATAATATCTGAGCCCTCAGGAATGGCAGCACATGGGGGGTATCATGGGCAAAACAGTATACTCTGTTATGTCCATGGTACTGCTCATGTCTATAGGCGACGGTTACCGCTTTCCATCAGGTGGGCCGTCAGCTTGTTTGCTATTCTAAGTTGTATAAAAAAAAAATATAAAAAATTAAATATATAGCACCAAAAATTACACTGAACTAATGTTTGACTAAACAATTCTCACTGAATTAATATTTGACTGAACTAATTAAATGAAGGTTGACTTGTGTTTTTGAAGATAGAGGTTTCATAACCTAGTTCAGACGTGGTAATTTAAATTAGAACCAAATGTTTAAATGAATTTAGGGACTAGCTTTTTCTATAATTCCAGTGCTGAGTTTGTTATAAACATGGTTATGCAATAAAGTTTGTAAATTCGAGTTTGGAAGATAACAAAAAATGTTTGTGACAATTTAAATATTCAACTAACTTTCCTGTAATGGAAAATACTATTAAGAGACAATCTTAAGATCCGCATCAAGCCCTAATTGACGCCTATATGTTAGACCTATCAGGTAGATCACCACGCATTCCCTTTTGAAATCCATTCAGGTAAATTTTTATTAATTCCTTAAGATAAACTAATTAACCTACCTCGGAATTATAAGAAGACCAACGGATAGAAATATAGCTGGAACTCGATGTATACTGACGACGAAATTAAATGTCGATAAGACGGCAAACAAAAAGGCCGGACTTAAATATACATAATGGCTACAAATAAGTTACAATACGTCCCTTTATATTTAAATTTTAGTTAAAAGAATACGATGATTAACTAATGGGAAAGTTTATATACATTTATTAGCCCTCACAAGTACCTCACAAGTGTTAACCATTATATTTTTATCCTATCAAATACTCTTGCATAATTAAAATATATCTTATAATATCTCCTTTTCTATATATCATAAATGGAACTACAACACATTGGATGATGTTCACCATATGATATCTGAATGTACGAAATACAAAACACAAAGGGAAGTATTGATACAGAAATATAGTCTCAACAGACAGGAGATTGGTTTATTTTCAAATGTACTCGCGGAACCACATTCCGGAATGGCAAAATCTTTAATTACTATATTTTTGTATCAATAATTCCCTTTATCAAAATAGACTACTAAGATATTATGTATTTTTTTTATTATATATACAACTTGGAATGGCAAACAAGCTGACGGTCCACCTGATGGTAAGTGATAACCGTCGCCTATAAACATGAGCAGTACCATGGACATAACAGACTTTATAACAGACAGAATTTATGTATCAATGTTTTAAGTATGTGAGGTATTTTATAAAATTAGTGTATGATGAGGCTGACATATCCTTATAGGATAAAAGCCTCTGAATAAAAAAGATAAAAAAAAATGGAACTAATTCTTTCATTACAACTATTTTCTTTAGAGTTTGTTATTTTTAACTTCTGCGGGTATTTCTAAAATTCTTCTTCTGTAATAAAATACAAAGATCTTTCTTTTTACCAACACGAAGTTTGTGATAATCATTTTACCAATTTATAATTTTTGTTATAACTAAATTATATTGAAAAAAAAAGCAACAGCAGTCTTTCTTGCCCGTTCTTCTCAGCTGAAATTGCATTCAGAAATGGGCGGTAGATTCATAAAAAAAATATTATTCAAAAATGCTTATTGTTAATTTTACTTGAATAAAAATTATTTATTATTATTATTATTAAAAAGTATAAAAGTATAAACAATAAATAAACATACATACCTATTTTATGTGATATAAGTTTACATAAACTAATTATATATTGTCAAAGACTAATCATAACTTTGCGGGGAGAATGGGATTGTTAGTAATGGAGACTGAGAATCCCATTGCTAGCAATATACCCAACCAGGTCGACCACCTCGCGGTTCCCCCTGGACACTATCATGGTTAATTCCTGATGAATTCATCATGATGGCCTAACTGGCCTGTTTTCACTCTCATCTATCACCCTTCACTGGTGCTCCGCCAGCGTATCCCGTTAGCGCAGGGTTACCATACCATTTTCACCCATAAAAAAAATCATAACTTTGCTCTTAGTAGTATAAAAAAACTATTATGCCTATTAAATTGATGACGTTGATTGATTGAATGATTTTAATGTTACATATATATAAAAAAAAATTCTACATTAATATACTACAAAGTTCAGAGGTTCATGAAATTAAATGAAATTATACGAATAAGGTTGCGGTTTTAAAAAGTTCTTAAATTAATTATAGTAATTCAGATATAGAAGTTATTACACTAAGACGTCAACAAGGTACTATCATATGTGTTAACAAAATTCTCCATTAGCTCTTATACTATCATAACTGAAATGCACTTCTTTGTACACAATAAAAGTGTGTTATAATTATCGAATAAAAAAAAAAAATACCTACTGTTAACTGATTGTAAAATATTCGTACTTACCGTTCATTGTGAATCTATAATGAGTCCAGTACACAGACAGTTAAAAAAATCACAATATTTTATCACATGCACTATCACAGAAATAACTGTTTCTATATTTAAAAAAAATATATATATAAAAAAAAGTATTTAAAAAAAATAAAAGACAGTTTTTGAAATTGGAACGCTCAATCTCATGCACCAACCGCTAGCGGCTGTCGAGCGCGCGGTTCTTGCGTTGAGAGACAAATGCTTGATCCTGCGCCGGCGCAGCCGTAATAAAGAATCGCAATGCACCGTGGCAATAAAAAAAACGATTTCGACGTTAGTGGCACGTTTGGTTTTCTTTGCCTATTGATAGACCTTTATTGTATTTGTAAACATAGATAAACGTGAGTTCGTTTCTTGACCTCTCCGGTGCAGTGGTAGACGTAATTTTTCGCAAATGAGGTGCTAGATTCGATTCTCGAGTCGAGTAAGGAAATTGTTTTTCTCAATTCAAACAGCGACAGTTAATTTAGGGAATTTATTTGTTTATTGTTAATTTTATTTTTTTATTATGTTAGCACAAAAGAGATTTAAAAAAATGTCGAATGCAAATTGAAAATTGAATAAAGACACTTATAATTTTAAATATCACATTGTTTGTAAAATATATATTATTAAAATATGAAAATTGTATTTTATATTATCTGTAAATATATATATATATATATATATATATATATATATATATAGTGAGCAGGACAATTACACCACTTACTATGGCTTATGTAAATTCTGCCCCTTGAAGGTAAGTACTACATTAAAAATTCTGTTAATTTATTTTATTTTTCTATTTATATAGATTCACATTACAGAGAATTAACAATGTTACAATAATTTAATATGGTACAATCTAATATATAAAATTCTCGTGTCGCGGTGTTTGTTACCAAACTCCTCCGAAACGGCTTTACCGATTCTTATGAAATTTTGTGTGCATATCGGGTAGGTTTGAGAATCGGCCAACATCTATTCTTCATACCCCTCAATGATAAAGGTGACCTACCCCTAAATATATATATTTTTTTATTTTTATTTTATTATGATTGAGCATTGAAAAATACATACAAATTCAAATTTTCCCGCTTTTACGATCAACCCCTGTTTTTTAATCTCGACTTTTATATGCCGCAATAGATATAGATAATATAATAATTGTAGTAGGATAATTTATCATGTATAGTTCTCGAAATAATGTATATGGTAAAACAACGTTTGCCGAGTCAGCTAGTAATTTTATAAAATTATATTATCTAAGTACCTAATAAAGGGTTCACAATGAAGTGTGAAAGGCGAACGAGATACGAGTAGAGAAAATTATAGAGAAAATCGTCCAAGAACAAACGTCTCTGTCCTTCTATGCGGCCAGTTCGAAAGAAAGAGATAAAAAGTCTATGTACAATTTAATCAACCTACATGATGGAGAAGGAAGTAATGATGTTTACAAGTATTTGTGGGTTGAGTATGTACAATATTAGTAGTATTACAAATATTTTTTTTATGTAACTTAGAATGGCAAACAAGCTGACAGCCCACCTGATGTAACGTGGTAACCGTCGCCTATAAACATGAGCAATACCATGGACATAACAGAGTATACTGTTTCATCCATGATAACCCCCACTCCTTGCTATTCCTGAGGACTCAGGTGTTATTCCTCTGTACCCTGTAAATTCACTGCCATATCCCACCCTTCAAACCGAAACACAGCCATGCAAACACAACTGCTTCACGGTAGAAATACGAATGGGACAGAGGTGTCCAAGCAAACGACTTTTATACAAAGTCTTCCTCTGATACTTATAAATACTGGCGCCTATAAATACTTATTTATAGGCGTCATAACGCCATCATACTCGTTAAGCCATGAAAAACTTCAGTCTACTCGCATATACTCTGTTTTATAAGGTATGAATATTTTTTGTTAAAGACGTAATCGAGTAATCCGTAGGTCTAATGGAGTATTCCGTAACCCCGGAGATTACGTATTCGTTGGAATTTTAAATGTCAGTGTTAAGGTTAATATATGATTTGATATTCCAGTTTTATTATAAACACCTGTGCGTGTAACCATAGAATAAGTATCTGTGCAGAGCCAAAACTCCATGCAAATGTGTACGCTCATGAGTAGCACACTCGACAGTATCACATCTGAGTTTCTAGTATTAGTCGTATAAAGATCGTATCTTACGATTTTGTTCATATTTAGGTCAATAAGTTTTTATAGAGTTAATTTAAGCTTTTCTAAAACTATTCACTATAAGTGCAGCTAAGTTCTTTTTTAATGACTTGACTTATCACTTATCTATATATATATATATATATATATATATATATATATATATATATATATATATATATATATATATATATATATATATATATATATATATATATATATATATATATATATATATATATATATATATATATATATATATATATATATATATATATATATATATATATATATATATATATATATATATATATATATATTATACAATTTTTTTCTGAGAAAAGAATTGTAGTAATGGGGTTGAATCTACCTTTTAATTAGTTTAAAACTATTATTAAAAAAAAAAACGCTTATTGAACAAAGCCCAACACACTAAACGATTACGTGAATGGCAAATGTGTATGGTGTTAGTCGATCACGCGTGGGCTTTTAACGACCATTGAATTTTAGACATAGTACATTTAAATAAATACACATAATATTAGCAGAAATTTAAAAGAGTAACAGTTGAGTTTCTTGCAGGCTCTTCTTAACGGATAACAACTTTCTGGACCTTATAGTAGATTTAGAAAAATTTGACAATTTAAAAGTGCTTGTAAACAAGTCTATTTGAATAAAGATGATTTAAATTACCAGAGAAAGACTACAAAAGTCAACAAAAGTCGATTGTTTGGGTACCTCTGTCCCATTCGTGTTTCAACCGTGAAGCAGTTGTGTTTGCATAGCTGTGTTTCGGTTTGAAGGGTGAGATATGACGTGAATTTACTGGGTACAGAGGATAACACTTGAGTCCTCAGGAATAGCAACGCATGGGGGGTATCATGGGCGAAACAGTATACTCTGTTATGTCCATGGTACTGCTCATGTATATAGGCGACGGTTACCACTTTCCATCAGGTGGGCCGTCAGCTTGTTTGCCGTTCTAAGTTATATAAAAAAAAAGTTTGAATTTAAATCATTGTGGTAAATCCTCAATTCGCCGCGATGGGCTAACTGACCTGTTTTCATCATCACCTGTCTCTAAGGCCCGCTCTCTGTAAATATACTTACTCATGTGACATCCTCAAAGGAATGGGCTGATTTGAATTCCATTTCCAGGGCTCCGTTTCTGCTATTTTATTAGATAGCCATGATTAATGTTTACCGGTTTATCTCGCCGTCTGTCCGTACATCTCAACATCTTATGTTTCGTGTTCGCGAAATGCTACAAGTAAAATTAATTTAAATGAAATTTAGTAAATAGTTGAACCATATGCTACATTACTACATAAGACACTATATTATGCTTTTTTATGTTGATATAATATGTATTAGTAGTATATCCGTGTTTTTTTTTTGATGGGTGAAAATGGTATGGTAACCCCGCCTGCGCTAACGGGATACGTTGGCGGAGCACCAGTGAAGGGTGATAGATGAGAATGAAAACAGGCCAATTAGCCCAGCATGATGAATTCATCAGGAATTAACCATGATAGATTCCAGGGGGAATCGCGAAGAGGTCGACCTGGTTGGGTATATTGCTACCAATGGGATTCTCAATCTCCATTACTAACAATCTCTTTCCTCCCAGTATATCCGTGTTGATCCCTGCATAGAATAGGCCACCCCTTTCTTTCCTATGGGTGTCAGATGTAAGATGCGACTAAGGGAGCTATTGGTGAAGGGATGAGCAGCAGCGTCTCTCTTAAAACTAAAACCTAAACTGCGGTTGCCAACTCACCTGCGAAGCATGGTAAATACTGGCAAAATCCCTCTTATGGGGAGGGCTAAATACAGCAGTGGACAGTTAATGGCCGATTCAAAATAATATGTAATGCCATGTGATCTATAAAACAACAAATGCTGAATTGACGACCCAGGCGCCTCAATGAAATGACTTGCATTTCTTGCTATCGAATGTTGTTGCGTAAACATTTCGTAACTATTTATGTATTTTCTGTTTTATGCGTATGTCTTCACGAAGCTCTTCATTCTAACTTGTTGTTTTCGTAAAACTGGCTCACTAATGTAATTTATATTTGTAAATCACCGTGTCTTGGTAATCTATTATGGACTCCCGCGATACAGGTTCGTCTAGTGCGGGGTCCAATGTACTCGCCGTTGTAAATTTCTTGTATTTAATAAATAAATAGATGAAGATTTTTAAATTATATAATACTTACGTATCGAAATCTAGCTATGTACCTAAACACAGAGGTCGATTCTCCAAACGTATCTCTGAAATTTAAATTCCAATTAGTGACGACCTGTATCTTTCTTTCCTGTTTTCTTTCAATTTACAGTCTTGGGATCCTTTTAAACGAATGGGCGAAATACGAGCATACAGTTTACCTGATAGTAAATGAACACCACAGCCCATGGACTCTAAAGACGTCAGGGGAGTCACTAAAAGAAAATAAAATGGAAAGAAGTACAAAAGAAGCGTGAAAAGTAGCTAATAAGCCGATATAGTGAAGACAAGCGGTGAGTTAGGTACACCTAGTTTTCCCTTTGATTCTGTTCATGGATTATGCACCGACTCTTGCTTCCGCAGACATTTGTTGCATCATCATATGTCAATATGTTATAATATATGGTCGTCATCAGCTCAGCCATTATCTGTCCACTGCCGAACATAAAATCAAAGCCACTTCGGTTTGATTCTACTTCGGGCTAGCTCAGTAACTTTGGTTCTTTTGCGGATATCCTTATTTCCGATTCTGTCACGTAAAGAAACTCTAATCATATCGCTTCCCATAGTTCACGGAGTAATTTAAAGCTTTTGTATACGGGCAATCATGTAGGAGCATGTTTCTGTTCCAAAAGTCATCACTGGGAACACGCATCTTCGTCTTCAAACTGAGGTAATTTGGTTGAGAAAGTGTGGCGTAGTTTTCCGAACGCTACCGAGCGGGGTTAGATTCATCGGTTGACCTCTCGATCAAAATTGGACTTACCTAGTCGGACAAGTTGTCCCAGGTATACATGATCGTCGACAACTTTTTAAT